GCAGGGCGGGTCCGGAGCGCGCGGTCCCGGCGCCAGCAAGGCTGAAGTTCCGCTCTGCGCCACGGCAGGGCGCCGCGCTCAGCAGCCGGGTTACCTGGGCGCCTTGTCTATGGCGAGTTTGCTTTTCTGAGATGTTTTGAGCCTCTGAACAAACCCTAACAGGAGGAGCTGGGCTCCCGGACACGCAGTTCTGCGTGGTTCTGAGGTTACCTGGGCGCACAGGTGTCCCTAGCCCAGCGCTTTTTAAACCTGCCCGGGTTACGGTGCGGATCCGGACGGCGGGTCTGGGTTGGGGCCTGGGTCACGCGTTCCCAACGAGCCGGGTGAGGCGAAACACGACCAGGCGTGGAGTCCAACACTGAGGACAAAGGGACTCGCAGGAGCGCGCTGGGGGCCGTGGGCAGGGGCCGCGCCGAGACCACCGCCAGCCCACACCCACGCGGGTCCTTCCCACCCGCTCGCGGGCCTCGCTTTCACCTTTCCGGGATGTCTCTCCGGGGTCGCCCCACTGCGCCTCCGAGCGGTCTCCCGATGCACAGCCTCCCGGCCCTCTGCGTACTGGAGAAGGAGGCGCTAACTTGTGTATTCAAAACTTGCCAGTTGGTAGTGATGGGACCAGGGAGAGTTATTTAGGGATCTTCTTACTCACAGCGAGGAAAAGCGTGGGAGAAGTTTATGTAGTTGTTGATTACCCAAGGGAAGGAGATGTTTGGACAGCAGGCAACTTGGGGAGGAGCTTTGAGGCAGGTGGGGTAGAAAGAGGCCTCCTCCCAGAGCAGAGATGGGCTGCTTTGCAGTGGCCCCTGAGGTAGAAACAGCTCAGGGTCCCATAGCTGTGACACAAATCTACGTACACAGCATCCACTGGGGGTCCCCTTACACCTGCCGGACATAGGGAGGGGGACAGGGGCACCGCCTCCGTCAGGAAGTTCCCTTCCCGGCCGTGCTGTGAGCGCTTGGATAGGATCCAGGATCTGTGGAATGGTCTCAGCCCCGTTAGCCTGCACTCAGGGTGGGACTTCGGACTCTTCAGTTCTTGTCAGAAGGGTTTCTGGGGAGGTAGCAGAGAACTGAGTCCAGGATACTGGGAGGAACTGGCCTTGGGTTAGGAATGGTAGCAGGGATCGAACTCAGGACCTTGCGCTTGTGAGGCAGGCGGTGGCACCGCTGAGCCAAATCTCCGGGCCCTCTGGTATCTATTTCAACTGAGCATGGGTCCATTTTCTCAATGATAAAGGCAGGGACCATGAGCCATCCCAGGGCCTGAACTGGGACGCATCAGCGTGTGTGTGTACGCAGGGTCTGCCACTGGTCTGTGGACATCTGCTGAGTAAAGGTCTCACAGGAACCCGACCCGTGGAACGCCTGTTGCCAGATGGCCAGCTCAGTGTCTGGTCCATGCAGATAGATGTCCACCGCCACTGCAATGGGAAAAGGTATTTTCCAGAATACTTACCTCAAGTCACCTAGGAAAGTACCCCGCGTCTCAGAATTACAAACTTACTCTGGGGGATCTTGAAAATTTCTAGGAGTTTGGCACTACTTATTAAAATACAGATTCCTTGGGGAAAAGTTACTATCGATTCTTTATTCACAATTTTTACGAGATGAGTAGTAAGTGCTGCCCACTGTGTCTGGTATGTAACACATGAGTTCGCTGCCTCTCTCTGGTACGAGAGTGGGTGGCCGCAGGGCCAGGGTGCAGGTTTTGTGGGTGCAGGTTTTGGGCGGGTGCTGGTTGGATAGCTTCGGTCTGAGGGAGACAGCACAAAGATATCTTTCCTCCTCTGCTGCTTACCTAGTTCCAAACAGAGAAGATACCAGGGCGTAAGTGTTGTGTCACCATTAGAACATTTAGCGGAAGACTCATAGAAGGAACTTTAAATCATTAAAAATATCAGTGTGGATGAGAAGACACTGCAGTTAGGAATGGCTGGGTTTCTTCCTCAGCCTTTTAGGCAGCTGCTTGGTTTCTGCTGCGAGACTGATGAATGCTCAAAACGTCAGAATTGCCACAGCAAATATGCTTTTGGTGGCAGTAAAGTAAGGGGCCATGGTAATTATTCTGCTGTATGTTAGGCCACTGTCTCTGGTTTTACTGAGGAGTTTCCCATGCATATTCCAGTGCTTTTTTATTATTTTTAAAAAATTTTCAGTTAGATATTTTTCTACCATCAAAACTTCCATCAGAAGCCGTTTTCCTGGCTTTGCTTCTCTTGGTGTGGATCCGGGGCAGTGGGGCCAGACAGGGGCCTAGGTAATAAGGCATCCAGAGAGGCAACTTTCCATCATCATTGTGTGGTCTCCCATGTCTGTAAAGATGGTGTCAATTTTCATCCATGTTGGATTAGGAAGCAATAACTGTAAAAATTCACTTATAATAAGCACCCCGAGGATGAAATGAAAGATGTAGTAGTAATAATAAGACCCTCTCAAGTTGGAATTTTCTCTGTAGCCACTAGTTTTTCCTTCTGAACAATAAAGAAATGTGTACTTTAAAAACATCTTTACTAGTATTATTATACATATTATATAATTATAAGATTTAACACTTGCAAAAAGAAGTGCTCCCATTATGTACTGAATCATATTAAATATCTGACACTTGATGTTCAGATTTGGGGAACTTCTCCTGGCAAAGCACAAAGGAACATAACCCATTTTAAACTAGCTTAGTGTGTTTTGCATATAATAATTATATCTATATATAATTATATATATTATATATATATATATCCATATGTATCCATAATGGGTATATGTATGCATCAGTATTACTGGTATCATTACATTACTCTCCATCACTCTCTAAAGAGGTTTGTTATTAACTGTGCAATATTTTCTTAAATGTTTCCTCCAAGATCACAAACAAGACAAGGATGTCCACTCTCACCACTCTTACTCAGTATAGTGCTGGAAGTCTTAGCCACAGCAATCAGGCAAGAAAAAGAAAGTGCATCCAAACTGGGAAGGAAGAAGTCAAATTGCAGATGACACAACCTTGTACATAGAAACACGTAAAGACCCCTTCAAAAACCTGTGAGAAGTGATAAATTCAGTAATGTTGTAGGATACAAAATCATGCCTATAAGCACAACAAAAACAAAATAAAAGGGATTTGTGTTTGCTTTCCATCACTATAACAAAGTACCTGAGACAAATAGCAGTGAAATTTATTGTGGCCCACTGTCTCAGAAATTTCAGACCCTGGTCACTGGACTGTGCTGACACTAGGCCTGTGGCAGCAGAGTTTATCATGGTGAGGGTGTAGGGTAAACTGTTCACCTCCTGTCAGTGGGGAAGCAAGAAAAGTACAGGAAGTGGGGTTCCAATATTCCCTCAAGGCATGCTCCTGTTGCCTTTTCTCCTGAGGCCCCAGAGTCACAGGCTGGGGCCCAACTTTTTACAACATGGGCCTGCAGGGGATGTTCCAAACTGAAACCGGATGGAGGATCACATCAAAGGTTTTGTGTATTTTTCACGCTCCAGCATTTGGGGGCACCAGAGGGAGACTGTGGATCCCAGGGCTGCCCGATTCTCAGGGGCAGCCAGGGGCTCACTGTCATGGTTCCTGTCTTGATGTCCTCCTAAAGCCTCATGTGGTCATCGGCTTTTTCAGAGGTGGCTGGATCTAGTGTGCGACACTAGAATTGATTCTCAGTGCAGTGCTAGGCTAAAGGGCACTAGGATTAAAGGTGTGAGTGCTGCCCATCCTAAGTTCCCTGGAAAAGATAAAAGGGGCAGAAAGATTCTGTTAGGGTCCCTTGTTGCTTTTGCTGTCTTCCGCCGCCATGAAATATTGGCCCTCTACCACCTTGCCTTGGAGCCAGCTGATTATGGACCAAAACCTCTACAAACTGTAAGCCAATAAACCTTTCTTACTGGAACTTTTTGTGTTGGGTATTTTGTCTCAGCAGTTAGAGGAAAGTAACTGATACAGTCACCCGAGTGTACCTTTTGTGGGGCAGTTAACTAATCCTGCGTCCATGTTCCCTCGCTTCACATCTAGGGAGCAGTGCTCCTCTGCCTCGCTTACCCCAGAGCTGGGTACCAACAAGAGATGGCCCCAGGACGCCACTGCCTGTGAAAATCATCCAAACCAGATGATCCTCAGACTGCTTGACACTGTCTTTTCTCCTGATCTGTTGGCCTCACCATACCTGAATAATGGTGAAACTCAGATTAAAACGTCACCCAGCAGTGTATGAATCCCTGTTACTGGATAAGGGTTCCTGTCTCCTAAAGCAATGTGATCGGATTCCTATTTTTGACACTCTGATTAGATCTGAAATCATTGTTTTAAGTGATTTTCCCTCATTATCAATGCTGTTAAGCACCTCTAAATCTTTCACCTTTTGAGTTTTTTCTTCTGAGAGGTTCCATTCTTATTGTTTGACCAGAAAAAACACTGGGCTCTATCTCTTATCAGTGTGCATGAATTCCTTGTATATTCTGGAGTCCTATAAAATTGTAACTTCTCCCAGATTATTTTTTAACTTTACAGTCTCTTTGGTTATGCAGAGGTTTATGACAGGCCAATCTTTTCCTTAATTGTATATATGTTTTGTATCAGGATTAAGTAATCTTTTTTTCTGATCACCCCCATTAAGATATTTTCTTTAAAAGATTGTAAAGGCCTACTTTTCTCATTTTTTTGTCTAATTCATCTTCATTTGTGTGTAATGAGATATCCTGGAATATAATTTTATTTATTTTACTTGAATGATGAATTGTCCTAGTATCATTCAGTTCCCATTTTCTAAAAGCAAAGCTATTGCACATGCTTTCATTTCTTCGTATCTTTGCATGGACTAAATGAGTCCCTTATTCAGCGTATATTTTGTTTCTTTAAGACACCGCTAGTCTGCTTTCTAGAATGATTTCACAGTCTCATCAGCAGTTTAAGAGCATTCATTCTAGGCCTTCCATATCCTTTGCAATACTTGCTGGTTAGTCTCTAATTTTATAAATTCTAATAGGTGTGTAGTGGGATCTCAAGGTGTTTTTTTTGTTGTTGTTGTTTTTTGGTTTTTTGAGACAGGGTCTTACTATACAGTTGAGACTGACCTGGAACTCACTATGCAGCTCAGGCTGGTCTCAAACTCACAGCAATCCTCCTGCCTCAGCCTCCCAAGTGCTGGGATTACAGGCGTGAGGCGTGAAGGTGTTTTTTTTGTTGTTGTTGTTTTTTGGTTTTTTGAGACAGGGTCTTACTATACAGTTGAGACTGACCTGGAACTCACTATGCAGCTCAGGCTGGTCTCAAACTCACAGCAATCCTCCTGCCTCAGCCTCCCAAGTGCTGGGATTACAGGCGTGCGCCACCACGCCCAGCTTCAAGGTAGTTTTAATACAAC